CTTGGACCCGTGGAAGTTGGGCCTTGACCTAAATTGTGTTTCTCTGATTATTGGCAAGTCGGACGCTTTTATGAGCTTATCGGTTTTTCTATTTCCTCTCTGTGAATTATCTATTCCCATTCTTTTATTGCCTAGTGAGACGTTAGATCCAAATCAATTTGGTGCATTCCCTGCCCTTCCTTCCTTGAAATGGAGTAGTCAAAACGAGCCCACAAGGAATGTGAGACTGTGTGTGTGTGTGTGTGTGTGTGTGTGTGTGAGAGAGAGAGAGAGAGAGAGAGAGACTGTGTGTGACTATAGGAGATTCTGTGTGAGACTCTGTGTATGATTGTGTGAGCATGAGACTATGTGTGAGTGTGAGGCTATGTGTGTGAGATTGTGTGTCTGAGTGTGAGACTGTGTGTCTGAGTGTGAGATGGTGTGTGAGAATATGAGGCTGTGTGTGGGTGTGATTGTGTGAGTGTGAGATTGTGAGTGAGATTACGTGAGTGTGAGGTGGTATGTGTGTGATTGTGTGTGAGCGTGAGATTGTGAGTGGGATTATGTGAATGTGAGGCTGTGTGTGGATGTGATTATGTGTCAGTGTGGGATTGTGAGTGAGGTTATGTGAGTGTGAAGCCGTCTGTGGGTGATTGTGTGTCAGTGTGAGAGTGCATTGTGTTGGTCTCCACACTGCTTTCTTTGAAAGGCTTTCACCCCTCACCTCTCACCTCTCACCTCACAATCCCAACCTCTCAGAAACTCTCTGCTTTAGCCCAGCTCCACCACATTTCCAGTGCCCATCGCTGGTCAGTCCTCGGGAGACCAGAAAGGGCAGTTCTCACCTGGCCCTGCTCCTGCCTCCAGGGCCTGCTCTGAAAACCCTCAGGGGCCAGGACAGTCAAACCTGTCGCTCTTCCCCCAGGTGGGCTTCAACTGGACCCACTGGCTGTGCAAGAGTGCTCTTTGTAAAAGTGCTCCTCAGGCCAAGTCAGAGATCCCTCAGAGTACCCAAGAGAAGCCCAGCTGGCTGAGCTGACTCAGGGGGTTCTGGGCCATTTCCCATTCAGTGCTGGGGACGCAAGCAGTGACTGCGATGCTCACTTCCACACGAGTCACGGTCATTGAGGGTGGATACGGAGGCCCCAGACAGACCCATTCCAGCACCGGGTCCTGATTGGGCCAAGGAGCTTCCAGTGGTCATTCGGCCTCACCACCTCCTCCTTGTCCCTCAATGATTGACATCCAGGGCCACCACCCTGTGCCAGTGACCATTCCCGCGGCCACCTCCCTGTGCCAATGACCATACCCACAGTCACCTCCCTGTGCCAATGACCATCCCCGCGGCCACCTCCCTGTGCCAGCGACCGTCCCCGTGGCCACCTCCCTGTGCCAATGACCATCCCCGCGGCCTCCTCCCTGTGCCAATGATCATGCTCGCCATGTCCATCACCGTCCCCTCCCTGTCCCTTTCCCAGCCTACAGCTGTCTCCACACCTGGCTCCTGTGTACCCCTCCTTACTCCTCTCTGCCTTCTCCAGGGGCATGTGGGTCAGCCCCAGTCCCCGAGTCCCTCACCAAGGCCCTGGACTGTCTTTTCCCCCATGGTCCTGAGAGTTTCCCAAGATGGGGCCCCACTGCACACCCCCTTCCACTCCCACCTAGCACCCCAGCAGGGCGCAGTTCCCTCAGGGAGGTCTGACGGTCCCAGGTCAGGCAGGACAGATCCCTGGGGTGCGACTTGGCATCACCCCAAATCAGCCGGAATCAGAGGTGCCCCACCTTGCCCCGTGTGTCTCCAGGTTTTCAGGGGGTCCAAGACCCAGCGGTGGGGAGTCAAGATTCCATGAGGGTGAGAGGTCAGGAGACAGATGGGGCAGGGCACCCCCCAAGACTCAAGACTCAACCCCCAAGACTTTCCAGCTTCAGATCCGTGACCTGACCAGACTTCCCAGGGGGGGTTGAGAGCCACCAAGGCCACAGAGAGTCCACCAAGGTCGTGGCCAGTGTTGGGAACGATGCATCTGGACGGGCACCAGGCCGCGTCCTCCTGGCCGTCCCCAGGCAGCTCTGGGAGGCCAGTTCCACGGTTTGCTCCTCCTCCAGGGAGCAGACACCGCCCCAACCTGGGCCCCCACTCCAGAAGCCAGGCCCCCAAGACCCTGGGACAGGGCCTGGGAGCAGCAGAAGGGGAGGACCAGGAGCAACTTCCAGCCACTGAGTCATGCATGCACTACACACTGGCTCCAGTGGACATCCACGCGTGGGTCAGCATGCAGGGAGCTGGACGCGGCTGCAAAGCTCAGAGGGAGTGGGCAGAGCAGCTCGCATGCCCCACACTCAGGCCCTCCCAGCCCACTGGGGCCTTCGCCTACGTGCCCAGCTCCCCCACAGCCAGGAGTTACAGTCACGGGGTCTGTGCCCCCAATCTGCGTGGGGACACCTGGGGAGCCTTGAGGAGGGTGCAGCGGCGCGAGTCTCTGAGCATGGCAGAAGGCAGCACCTTCAGCCTCCCCCTGGCCATGGGGCCCTTCTCAGGAAGCCCTCCCCCTCCACAGCCTAGCCAGGGTCACGAAGCTGCAGTGCTTACCTGTGGCTCTGACTCAGGGGGCACTGCTGAAGGGGCTCAGGTCACCCTGTGGGGTCCCGGGAATCAAAGCCAGGTCAGCCACATGCAAGGCCGGTGCCCTCCCCGCTGTGCCATGGATCAACCCTGACTGAGGCTTCTGAGGGCATGCGAGGGCCGAGGCAGAAGCCCGTGGACAATGACGATACAGGCGACCCCCCCCCCCAAACCCCTACAGATGCTTCACAGGAAATGGGGCAGCTGGCCCCACCTGGGCATGTGCGAACAGCCCCATCAGGACCCAAACACACATGCACGTTTCTGGGGTCACACCTTCACCAGAACCCTGCTCCCCGGGGAGTGAATCAGAGCAGGCAGCAAAGTGTTCCCAGGGGCTCTGGCCAGCTCTGCCCTCCGCCCAGCTGCCTGCTGGAGGCCACCATGCACTCACCCATCAGGCCCCCTTTGGTGGAAGACCCCGTCAGGCACGGGGTTCTGCATGAGTGACTGGCCAGCCCCAGGCATATGGTGCCAATGAGCAGGCCCAGGAGCTTGGGTTCCTGTCAGCCCAGGCACCGGTGACAGCCGGGCTGTCCATCAAGTATGTCTTTCTCCATCCCCCATGGGGGCGGCACTCAGGACCTGAAGGGTCCCCTAAAGGGGTCGCAGACCCAGTGTGGGGGGACAGAGACAGCAGGTCAGCATCAGGTAGGCACTGTGAGAAAGGGGGCATCCACCTCCCACTAGCAGCAGAGCAGGGTCCCTGGGGACCAGAAGGCCCAGTGAGGAGGAGGAGGAGGAGGAGGAAGAAGCACTTGGCAGCTGGGAGGCCAGAGGGGGACAGGGAAGGTCCGGGCCCCGCATGCCCTGGCCCCAGGGAAGTCCGGCCCTGCGCCAGCTGGACACCGGGCAGACGGCAGCTGCATCTCTAATTTTAGGGCACTTGGAGCTCCAGGGGGACGGGCCCAGGTGCCCGGAATAACTCGCCGGCCTTTGGGAGACCGGTGGGTGGTGGGTTGCTCCTGGTCTCCCACAGGCTGCATCGCTGAGGCCCCCACCTGGGGCCACTCCTGGGACTCCTACGTTACAAGTGGGGTGGGAGCCAAGAGGGACACCAGCTCCCCCCTCCCCCCACCCTGCCCATGGCTGAGGCAATTCCAACAGCAACAGGCCCCGGGGGGATTCATGTTAGTCACAGCTGCTGGCGGTGTGGCACACGGAGGTGACAAATGTCCGCACGGTTGTCCAAGGCCCACAGACGCAGACACCGAGACTCCTGGGAGCTGCTCTATGCCCTCAGCTCCAGCCCCACGGGGGCTCCATGCAATGGTCTCGAGGGCAGGGGACCCCCCGACCCTGGGCTGCCACATCGTGCTGGGGGTGCAGTGTGGTGCCAAGGTCAGGCCTCATGTCCGGCACATGGGCCACAGCAACTGGGCTCTCTCCCCAGCCCCCAGAAATAGCAGTTTAAGAGCAAAGCCACGTATGACTACAGGAAAACGAGGAAAGTCAGCTTTGCTGCTTGGGGGCCTGGAGCTCTGTCGTTGTCCTTTGTGAAACGGGCACCGAGGAGCTGGAGAGACGGCACAGCAGGGAGGCCGTTTGCCCTGCACGTGGCCAACCTCGGTTCCATCCCCGACATCCCATGCAGTTCACTGAGCACCACCAGGCGTAATTCCTGAGTCCAGAGCCAGGAGTCGCCCCTGAGCATCACCAGGTGTGACTCAAAAACAAAATAAAATAAAATGTGCACTTAAGACCAGGGACCTCACCCCAAAGCATCAGCTCAGGGGGCCCAACCTGACAGAGGGTCCCAGAAGCCCCTGACTAGGCATTCATCGTGCTCGTGAGTCTGTTTGGTCAGCCCAGATGCTGGCCGTCATTAGTGAGCGGAGAGCCTACGTCCTGCGTCGGAATGCCAGCGCCCAGAGCAGCAGCTGAGAAGGAAGGACACGGCCTCCTGGGGCAGGAGACTCGGGCTGGTGCCGGAAGTGGCCCCTTGCCAGCAGCCTGTGCGGGCTTTGCTGACTCACCCCATGCAGGGTTACTGGGCAGGGTTTCAGGGCCGGCCCGACACCAGAGACTGAGGAATGACTGAGCCTGCAGCCCAGGGCCTGTTCCAACCATGAAGGAACCTCTTCATTCGTCAGGCCATGAGGGATGGACCAGGTGGGACACAAAGGCCCCGAGAGCCACAGGCTTGGCACCCTGCCCGTCCCCAGAGGAGAGCCAAGTATCCCAGCCACCTGAAGCCGGTGGCACAAATGCACAGCATGAGTGGACAGAGGGGGCTTTTGTCCCAGCCCCAACATCTCTGAGCACTGGTTTCCACTTCCGCACCCAACACAGAGGCCCACGATACCCGCAAAGGTGGCCGCGGGGTAGACACATGTGGGGCCCCCTCCAGCTCTGTGTGAGTCCTGTGGCCTGGGGTGAAGACCGCGTCAAGTCATACCTGATGAGCCGTGTGTGCCTTGGCGTGTAGGGGCTGATGACCTGGAACAGCAGCTCCATGGCTCCGTTGATGCCCAGCATGGCTCCTGTGGGCACTGGGAAAGACACGAGCAGCCCTCCTCACCCCACGTCGGAGCACCGGGAGGAGCCGCCACCCCCACCCGCCTGTCAGAGGCAGCTCCACAGGGAGCCTGGGAAGCACACATGGCCGTCTCCCGCATGGCCGTCTCCCGCATGACCACCTCCTGCATGGCCATCTCCATGTGACCATCTTCCGCATGACCGCCTCCCACGTGGCCATCTCTCGCTGCTTCTGCCCCCACGTGGCTCACGCCACAAAACAGCCTCTGCCCCTCTTGGTTCTTCTGTCAGAGGGACACACAGTGCAGGGGGGCCCAGACTACACCTTCCCTGTGACATCGACACGAGTTCACACACACAGGTACACACACTCCACACACACATGACTGTGCAGAGGTACATATGTTCCATGTGCATGGTAGTACAGTCATATGTTTACATGTGAACACACAAGGCCTGTGTGTACAAACATGTTCGTATACATGCATGCACACGCCAGCTCATGTGTACACATGTTCCTGTACATGCAGATACACCAGTGTACACATGTACACACATGCTCATATATATGCATTAATACACGGCTCATGTGTACACATGTTCTTATACACAGACACACCGGTACACATATGTACACTCATGTCCACATGTATGTATGCACACACCAGTTCACTTATACACATGTTCTTATACATGCAGGCACACCAGTACACATATGTACACACATGCTCATATATGTGCAGACATACACCAGCTCATGTGTACATGTTTTTATACACACAGACACTGTGTGTATAAAATGTGTCTACATGCATGTACACACTGACTTATATAAGAACCTATAAGAACCAATAAGAACACATATGTTCTTATATATGCAGGCACACCAGGACATTTGTACATGCATGCTCATATGCATGCATGTACAAATAAGCTCACATGTGCACACATGTTCTTTACATACAGATATGCCAGTGCACATATGTGCAATGTAAATATGCGTGTGTCTGCAAATAAGCCCATGCATACGCATGTTTTTCTACGTGCAGGGGCATATGTGTATACATGCACACATACATGTGCACAACACCTGCTGACGTGTACATATGTGCCTGTGTACATACTGACACATGTATGTACACACATGCTCATATACATGTATGCATACAAGCTCATGGGTACACATGTGTGCACCCAGACTCACATGTGTGCACATGGGCACACATGCTCTCATGCAGTGACACGCATGTACAGGCAGCTATACACAGGTTCACGTGCTCACATGCACACTACTTTGCACACGTACACACATGCGTGCGGATGCACACTCCAGCTCACAGGTGAGTGCATGAATCGCACACGTGCACACATTGCCAGCATCTTGGCAAACACTCTCAGAGACATATTCTGTGCTGTGCAGCAGTGCCCGGTGAAGACGGGTCATAGGTGGTTAGGCGGGAAAAACAGTGGCGTGTTAAGAGTCTGAGGTCCCTACACACCCAGGTCTCCAGGTCTCCCTGGTCTCCAGATCCAGTCCAGACCCCCAAACTGAGATGTGGGAGCCAGACCGGAACAGAGGCCCAGGCATCCAGGGCTGCCCACTGGGCTTCCATTCTCATGAAGCCCAGCTGTCCTCTTGAAGTGAAAAGCCCTAGTGGCCTTGGCAGAGTAGGGAGACCTTTACAAGAACCCCAATTCTAACACAGGAGATTCAGAGAAGGAATGGAGGTGTCTCTCCGGGCTCATCCCAACTGGCGACATGCCCGGGGGAGGCTCAAGGCCATCTCTGCCCAGCCACTGTCCATCAGGGACCTACTGATGGGCTCGGTGGCCTCATAGACCCTGACATCATCAGCCAGCACCTTGCATGGAGAGTCACAACATAGAAAGCCTTGCCAGGATGTTCAGCTCCCAGAGAACACGGTGAGTTGCAGCCTCAGAAGCTCTGCTGGCCCACAGAGTGTGGTCATGGAAAAGCCACATGTGCGGTGAGCACCTTAGAGCACAGGGAGTGGGGGCACCCCTGCAATGCCAGCACTTGGCTAAGTTCGGGATTATAAGGATTCCTTCTCCCAGCAGCTCACCCCAACCATCCTCAGGATGCCAGGAAGGACAAGACACAAGCATCTCAGTGAGAACCAAAGTCAGCGTCTCCCCGGCAATGCCCAGCCCCCCTGTTTGTGAAGAGGGGTTCACACAGGCCCTGCTGCCTCCCCCCAACTCTCTGCTTGGTCCAGGCATATGAGACCGTGGAAGGTCCTAGACCTCGGGGCAAGATCGAGCTCCTAATTCCCTCAAAAGATTTTCTCCTCCTGCTTCATCAGAGGCCCATCCCACCCAATGACAGCGCTGATGCGCTCATGCATAAGCCCTATTGTCCCAGGAGCAGGTGGTCACCGACATGATCATAGCCTCCTCCCCGTGGAAGAGGTCATGGTCCCTGTCACCCCTGAGACTTTGCAAGGAAAGCTATGGAAATGAGAACAGGGCAAGTGACAGCAAGTAAAAGGAGGCAATAGGAAGGGACAGGAAGTGACAGAAGTTTACAGGAAGTGACAGAAAACAACAGGAAGTGACAGGAAGTGAGAAGTAACAGGAAGTGAAAGGAGACTACAGGAAGTGAGGAGACGCAACAGGAAATGACAAGAAACAACAGGAAATGACAGGAAGTGAGAAGTGACAAGCAATGACAGATGACAGGAAGTGATAGGAAGTGACACGAAGCAAGAAATGGCAGAAAATGACAGGAAACAACAGGAAGTGACAGGAAGCAACAGGAAGTGAGAAGGAACAAGCAATGATAGAGATGACAGGAAGTGATAAGAAGTGACAGGACTCGAGAAGTGACAGGAAGCAACAGGAAGTGACAGGAAGTGACAGGAAGTGCTCTCTCCTCCCGGGCGGCCTCCCAGGCAGGAGACTCCTGTCCACTCACCACTTGCGGCGAAGGCGCGCAGCACCCACAGACAGTGCAGGAGGTTCTGGCCATGGGTCAGGTTCTTCCTGGCCAGAATCAGGGTCACGTCCAGGGCCTCCAGAGCCAGGGCCTTCTGGCCGAACCTCTTATCTGTGGACACAAACAGACCCAGCTGCGGTGCAGGCCGATGGGCCCAGACGAGGAGAATGTGCCCTAAGGCACTGCAATGCCTGGCGTTGCTCCTCAGGGGACATTCCCAGGAAGGCCAGCATGGGGCACCGGCTTCCCGCCCTTAGACTTAGCTCGGGGCATGAATTTCTTCCACCCTGGCAGTTCCAGAGTGACACTTCTGGGCTCCTGACTGTGGGGCGTCCACCTAGCTGGAGGCTGTCAGTGCTTGGCTGCGAGAGGCCAGGTGAGGGGCGGGGGAAGGAGCATGAACAGCACACGCACTGGTCACTTTGTTCCATGTCCAGTCCCCCAAGAAGGGAAAGTGTCTGTCGTTAGGACATGCGGCAAAAGGTAACAACACTTAGACCCAAGCCCTGGGTCTGTGTGAGACGTCCAGGCACCAAGGCAAAGGCCACAGGAAAGGAGGCAGGACAAGTCCACAGGGCAGCCAACCAGAAGAGTCTGGAACATTCAGGAAAGCGGCCCTGTCTCACTGTGCTCAGAGGCCTGGCCTCCAGGGCAAGAGAGGTCTCTGCTATGCTGAGCCCCCCAGCCCTGGGGGCCCCCATACGCGTCTGAGTGAATGTTCCGGGAGCTGCTCACGGTGGGCGAGTGCCCACCTCAAACTTCCCCTTCCTGCTTAAGCCCTTGGGGCCCCCCAGCATCACCCCCACCCCCATTTCTGGGGTCTCCTCCCTGCACGTGGCCACAGTACCCAGAAGGACCCTGAGTCCCCTTGCACGCGACAGGTACCTCGGAGGCCCACTCGGGCCAGCAGCCGGCAGAGGGGCAGGAGGACGGCATAGTCGGGCCGCGCCGTCCGGGCCGCATTCACTAGGGTCCGCAGAAGCGCCTCGCTGCCGCCCTTGTCCACGAGGTAGCGGATCCTGCGCTCCGTGCCTGTGGCGGAGAGAGCAGAGCCGGGGCCTGCAGGCAGCCACTCCGCAGTCAGAGCCTGTGTGAGTGTGGAGTGTGGGTGTCTGCATACAGGTGAGGGGCGGGGTGGGTAACTGGTATGTGTCACGTCTGTGTGTGTCCATATGTGTGTGTGATGTGCATTATATGTGATGGTGTGCGTGTATGTGAGTGGTGTGTGTGGTGTGTATTGCATGTGACTGGTGTGAGCATATGTGAGTGGTATGTGTATTTGTGATTGGTATGTGTCATGTCTGTGTGTTTATATATGTGTGTGTGTGGTGCTTTATGTGACTGGTGTGTGAATATATGAATGGTGTATGTGTGCTGTGTAGTGTTTTCCGTGAGTGGTGTGTGTATAGATATGTGTGTAGTATGCGTATTAGTAAGCTAATGTGTCATGTCTCTGTGTTTGTGTGTGTGTGAGTGTGTGTGTGTGTGTGTGTGTGGTGTTTTCTGTGAGTGGTGAGTGCGTAGGTGAGGGGTGTGTGTGGTGTGTATTGTATGTGACTGATGTGTGTGTATCTGTGAGTGGTGTCATGTCTGTGTATGTATACATGGGTCTGTGTGGTGCTTTATGTGACTGGTGGTGTGTGTAAAGATGTGTGTGGTGAGTGCGTGTCTCTGTAGGACACGCCCAGCCATGAGTGGAGCAACCCCACCCTGTGCTCAGGGTGCAGGATTTGAACAGGGTCCCCAGGGCCACCATCCCGTCCAGGGAGCCAGGCTGAGGCTGTCAGAGCTCTCATCAGGGCTTCTACGGGGGGAAGAACCAGGCTATATTTGGGGGAGCTGGGAGCAGGGACCCTCCAGATGGGAAGGTCTCTCCTGGGGACTGTCCACACAGAGGGCAGGGCCCACAGTCACCAAGTAGCCGGTTTCTGTGCTCCCAGCAGCAGGACTGCGGGGACCGTGGGGTTACCCCACCCCGGAGGAAAGGGATCAGCCATCCCCAACCCCCTTGGCTGACTCACCCACAGACAGCAGGTCCTCAAGCACCTGCAGGATGGCCAGGATGGACGCCCCGTCCGAGCAGCCCTGAGGAGACGGGGGACACTCAGTGCGGGGGTAAGGGCAGATGCTCCACTTGGGCACCCAACACAGGACTCAGGGTGCTGGCACCTGTATGGGCCCCTGCGTCTTCTACTCATGGCAGGCTCGGCTCAAGCTGCCAGATGGTCTGGGCCAGGGGCAGCTGCACCTCCCCCACACATGCACACCCCACACAATCACACACATGCACTCACACACATACAGGCACCACACACTCACATACACCACACACATACGTACACCACACAATCACATACACCACACACATACATGTACCGCACACAGTCACATACACATACACATACATACATACATGCACCACACACTGTCACACACACCACACACAAACATGCACCACGGTCACATACACCACACACATACATACATGCACCACATAGTCACATACACACACATATATACAGGCACCACACACATGTATGTATGTTACATACTCCACACATATACGTGCATGCCCCACACACATACATAAATATACCATACATATCACACACACATACATGCACTGCAAACAGTCACATACACTCATACATGCACCAAACACATATACCACATACAGTCACAGAGACAAAATTTATATGCACACACACAGTCAGAAACACACACATACGTACACACAGGCACAACACAGGAGAGCTGTCTGAGAAGGCAGTGAAGAAGGGAACCACGAAGCCCAGAAATGAAGGAAGGAGAAAGCAACTATGAGGGCTGGAGGGCTAGTACAGCGGAGAGGGTGCTCGCCTCACATGTGGCTGACCGGGTTCATCCAGTGGTCCCCGAGCCCTGCCAGGAGTGATCCCTGAGCACTGCTGAGTGTGTCCTCCAAACAGGAAAAAGAATAAAATCAATACAAACATATGGATAAAAATAAAAGGGGCTGGAGAGATAGCACGGTGGGGAGGGTGCTTGCCTTGCATGCTGCTGACCCGGGTTCGAACCCCAGCACCCCAGGGTCCCCTGAGCCCAGCCAGGAATGACTCCTGAGTGCAGAGCCAGGAGTAAACCTTGAGCACCACCAGGTGTGACCCAAAACCAAAACTAATGAGAGCAAAGAAGACACGGGGAGAGCGGCCACAGAGAAGTGGCAGCCTTGCTAATGGGAGCTTGGGTGAATGCTTGCTAAATTCACAGGTCGCTGCCATCTATTTATACGCAGCCGGCTGCCTCTCTGGAAATGCAAGCGCCCCTTCCTGGAGCCGTCCAGACCGCAGATGTGCCAGCGGCCGTGCCAGGGACACTGGGTCTACTAAAGAGAAGCCGCTTGGCTGCTGATCATTCACACCAGACCGCTCAAGTGCCCCGTGGCCTTTGGTGCAGTGAAGAGCAGGTGAGCGCAGACAGTGACGCTGAAGGCCGGCACCTGGGCCCGGTCGTCGCTCATGCTCAAGCCGCCAGCAGATTCCAGAAAGCCCTTGTCAGCAGTCTGGATTGGAACAGAGGTCAAAGCCACGGGACGCTCACAGGGAGAAGCAGCTGAGGAGGTGGAGAGCGCCATCGAAGTGTCCGCATGTGAGGGGACCAGAGGAAAGGTTCGGGCTATTAAAAGGCTCAGCCACTGGCCCTGAGACTGGCCACAGGCCAGGGAAGACAGAACTCGCACCTTCCAGAAAAGTGTCTGCAGCTGTCTGCAACCACCTCACTGTAAAGACGGCTCCGAGTGACTCTCCTGGGACTGCCAGGCCGGGTTCCGAGGAACAAGGAGGGGCTCAGTGGCCCGGTCAGTCCCCCACTCAGGGCCGGGGACAATGAGCTGCAGGCCACATCATCCAGGGAAGGTCACCGGCGGGAGTCACTTAGACTGTGAACCCCATTGCACTCAGGGCAGAGTCGAACCAGAGATGAACTGCGGGGACACAGGTTCCCTGGCAGGGGTGAAAGTCAAGGGTTAGGCCCAGAGATGGGGGGTGTTCTGGGGAGACAGGGCCTCGACCCCCAGCCCCCAGCACCCAGCCGAGCTCCAGCTCACAGTCATTTATTTGATACTTGTTACATCTGTTGTTACTGTGTTTGGCATATCGAATACTTCACGAGGAGCTTGCCAGGCTCTGCCGTGCGGGCGAGATACTCTTGGTAGCTTGCACAGTAACAACAAAGTCTCCAATGGAGACGTTACTGGGCCCGCTCGAGCAAATCGACGAACAACGGGAGGGCCTTTACCTTACCTTACCTTACATCTGTACATCGATACACTCATTTGAAGATGATTTGATACTTGTGGGTGCGGCGATCATGGGTGAGGGAGGCACAAGAAAGCCAAGTAAGCCAACAAGGGGGTAAAAATATGGACCATCATGAGGCTGGAGAGAAACAGCACACGCATCTGGGGTTCGATCTCCGGCGTCCCGTAGGATCCCCCAAACACAACCAGGAGTAATCCCTGAGCACAGAGCCAGGAGTAAGCCCTGAGTGCTGCTAGGTTTGGCTCATAAAAACCCAATTTATATACACTGGGACCACTGAGTTCAAACCAAATTTATCTAAGAGTGTAGTTCACAGGAGTTCTGGAGGAGGCCACGGAAAGAGCGGACAGTTCCTCAGGGCAAGCGGGGCGGGGGGGGGGGGGGAGGGGGCGTTGCAGAGAACTGGTCGTTCCTGTTCCTCCAGGGGAGGCTCACTCAGGTCTGTTCACGACAAACCTCTCCGCAGCATCCGACTGCTCCTCGCACCTGTCTTCTTGGAAAAGATCCACCAACGGTGCCAACAGAGCAGGTGTGTCTGCACGATCCTCGGATCTCCTTCCTCTCCCCAGCAGCCGCATCGCGCTTTTGGGGGGCAGTTTGCAGGTCACCCCAAGTCTCTGTCATTCACTCCTGCCCAGAGCACAGCTGGCCATTGTAACTCAGCCCTGCTGGGTAATTTCCCAGGTGGCTCTGAGCGTGGGTACCGCGGCATCTGCCAGGAGGTACCTGGGGCTTTCACTGCTTCTCAGTTCCTGCAGCCAACTGCCAAACACCTGATGGACCCTCTAAGCCAGACCTTCCCCAGGTGGGGGCTGTGCCCATCAGGAGCGCCCTCGGTGTCCTGGGCTGGGCTGTTTCCGTAAGCGGACAGAGTGCAGGGCAAACTGAGTGATCTTCCTTCTGGGAAGGTGGCTGGGGGGGCCAGGGAAGCGGAGAGCCTCCGTCTGAAGACTTCAAGTCCTTGACAAGAAGGAGAAATGTTCTGTGTGGCTGCCCGTGGGAACTGCCCCCACCTCAGCCAAGGGTATGCTGGGCATTGCTCCCCAGTCAGGGGCGGGGGCAGCACACAGCTCTTCACATCCTGCAACCCAGCCAGACAGGGACAGTCCTGGGACAGGTGAGGACAGTGTTTGGTGTTGGCTGCTGAGAAGTGAAGGAAAGAGCAGGGACAGTGCAGGGAGCAGAGAGCAGCTCTGAAAAAAAAAAGTGTACAGCAATTACACTTGATGGCTGCAATTTCCAGCCTTCCTTTGGCGAAGCAAATTGCCTTTTGAGCTGAAACATTCTCTGACGTTCTCTCCCTGGGGTTTGGGCCTGAAGGAATGTCCCCCTTTTCAAAAAGCCAAATTTGTTTCTTTTTATCCTAGAACTGACTCCATGCTAATTGCACGGTGACAACGTGAGGCAGGAAAGCGCCTGACGAGGGGAGTCCGGAGATTAACCTCCCAGAGGCGCCTTTGTACTCAGTCCGGGACGGTGGCGGGGCCAACAGCTGGTTTCCAGCGCAGCAAACACTCTCAGAACCTGAGTCCTCTCAGCCCCTGGGCCTTCGACAAGGCCGGAACCTCCGACCAGACATTTGCCACTCCAGGTGTGAGAATCGCCTGTGATGAGCCAAGGAGCACACACAGTGGCCAGCTCTCCTGCCCGTCCCCTCCCTAGTGCCCTCAGGAAGGAAATGAGGATGGCCGTGAGCCAGGTGAGGCCCCCAAGCAAGCTGCAGTCTCTTTCACCCCCTGTCCCAGGCCTCCTGCGGGCAGAGGCAGAGATGGAAGCTTCCAGCATCTTCAGCTCCTTCTCCAATGCGGAGTGTCACCATGAAAGTCCCCGGATTTCCCAATTTGAACAGGGCTGACAGCTGAGTGATTGGAGCCACGGAAGCCCCAAGGAAGTAAACCCAAGGGGTCTGGGAGTGCCCAAATCCTGCCCCGGTGAGCTGTCACCATGTGACAGGAAGGGCTATCCACATCCAGAGTCCTGACTGGGCATTCGCACATTTTCCTTGGCTTCTTTTTTATTGGAATAAACCGGGACAAAACCCAGAGAGCAGATGAGAACAGCACCGTCTGCCCCCTGGCACCAACTTTTCCCCTCTCCGCCTGAGAGGATTAGGGGCGACGCAAATGCCGAATGGCCACCCCATACCGAGGGGATGTTCAGATTTCTCCAACCCGAGAAGACCCTGGCTAAGGTCAGACATGGCGAGAACAGGGCGCCAGGGGTTTGGGAGGGCAGCCGAGCTGCAGGATCCTCAACTGATGAAGGAAACCAATCAAACGCGGGGAAATAAAACCCTCAAGGACCACGTTGGGCCTCAGGGGAGGGAGGGTGTTGACGGGGAGAAATTAGGAGACTGGATAATGAAGGGCTTCATCGCTGGCAAAGTAGTGGGGTGCCTATAAGCTCCTCCAGGGATGCCGTCAGACTGGCAGAGAAACACGGGCGTGCCGGGTGCCAGCTCGGGTCTGTGAGAGAAACGAGGTGTGTTCCCCACCCGGGTGGAGAGTGAGTACAGATGGGAGCTGTGCCCAGAATTCTGCATCTGGAGTTCTGCAGGAAGGTCGGGGCTGGACAGGTAAGCGAGCGGCCCAGCCGCTGGTTTGTGACAGCGGGCAGCACTGCTGAGACATCCAGGGGAAGGAGCTGAACCCGGGACACAGGACACAGAGGCAGAGACACCTGCCCCACTCAGGTCTGCAGAGAAGCACGAGCACCCACCTGTCAGAGAACATTTCCCGGCCTTGGAGAACAAAAATGCTTCTTTCCTTAAAGGGAGAGGAAGGGGCCACAGGCCAGGGGGACAGTTCACAGGAAGCAGCTGACAGTGACGTCCTGTTAAGCTCCGACACAACCTAGCTTCTGAGTGAGCCAGAGTCAGGGCCAGCTGGGGGTGTGGGCAGGGCCAGGCTCCCTGGGCTCTCCTGTTCCCATCACCTCTCCCCAGTGCTCCTCCGACCTGGACCAGCCGAGAGACAGAGACGGAGAACAGCAGGAGGTGCCAGCATCACTCCCGGGCACAGGGCTGCACTCTCTGCTGGACACGCCATGCAGCTTTGTCACTCCCGGGGGCTCCCAGGGTGGACCCTACCCACAACTAAGAGAAGCCAGGAAGTGTCCATCCCTCACTACCTGTTAAGCCTCAGGGTATCAGGAGCTCAGTTAAAACCAAACCCAGGCCCTGGAGTGACAGGACAGCAGGGAGGGTGCTGGCCTTGCACTCAGCTTGCTCAGTCCCCAGCACCACAGATGGTTCCTGGAGCTGCCAGGAGTGACTCAGGAGCTCAGAGGCAGGAGTAACCCCTGAGCACCGCCAGGTGTGGTCCCCAAACCAAATAAATAACATCAAATCCAGGTGCCTAAGGCTCACCCAGCATGTGGCCAGCCCCGGTCGGTCCCTGTAGCACATGTTCTTCTGCATGGCCGCTTACAGCCAGGCAGCCCCTCCCTAAGTGCCCTGGTGGCCCAGGGAGCTCAGAACTGCAGCCTCCGTCCGGGTTAAACCACCTGCCTGCTGGCCAAGAATCGTCCTGATCCAGGAGGTCCCTGGACCTACTGCGCACCGAAACGAAACCAAAACCAAACAAAATTCCAGGGCCCGGAGCAATTGTATAGCAGGGAGCCCATGTGCCTTGCTTGCGACTGACCTAGGTTCAGTTGACTCCTGGCATCGCAGATGGCCCCCCAGGCCCACCAGGAGGGACCCCTGAGCTCAGTGTGAGGACTAAGCCCTGAGCATCCCTGGGTGTGACCCCCAAAACAGAAAGCCAACTCAGGCAACTGTCGGGTGCCCTGGAAACGTCATCCAGTCTCTCCATGACGTCCACATGTCTGGGTTCCAAGGACACACAGGGGAAGGGGCTCAGGTGGGCGTCAGCACTGGCCTGCAGGAACAGCTCTGAGGATGCCAGGCTGGAGCTGCCCAGGGCACCTACCTCAGCTGGCTCAGTCACTGGTCTCCTGGTGGACAGAATCTCGGCCAGCAGGTCTGCAGCTTGGAGAGGACATGGGTGTGGAACACCTATGGATAGATCCTTCCTGGGGATCTCCAGACCCTGCTCTTCATTCCCAGGGGCAGAAACACTCGGCCACAGCCACACCCGGTCACACTGGCAATGAATCAGCATTTAAACCCCAGAACTTTGTCCCAGAGCAGGGGTTGGAAGCGCTCAGGACCATGAACAGAGAGGGTGTCCTTCATAGGGGCTTCATACAGCAGGTTGGGGGCATTCTGGATGGGAAACAA